GCATCTTAGCTCTGGAAATTGTTATTGAATATGTCAATGCTGTTGTAATGAAATGCTTCTTCTAATCATGTGGTTATTAAATAAATAATTTAAAAAATGCTTCATACTCTGACAGGGCTGGATATATATGAATTACTGGCTTCCTCTAAGCATATGACAGTTCAACAATTATACAATTGACAGAGAAAAAGAAAGAGCAATAGCAAGGGCTGAGCACAGAATCAGCATAGAGAAATAAAGGCTCATGAAAATATATTTTGGGCTGGAGAGATGGCTCTTGCAGAAGACCTGGGTTCGATTCCCAGCACCCACATGGCAGCTCTGAACCATCCTTAACTCCAGTTCCAGGGGAATCCTAAACCCTCTTCTGATCTCCGTGGCACTGCATGACACAGGTGCACTCACATACATGCAGGTAATACACTCATATACATAAAATAAAAATAATAGATAAAATTTTTTAAAAAAGAAAAGAACATACATTTTGATCACTTTGCAAAGAGCAAAAGGACAACCACAGCAACGGAAAAGATACCATCTAACAAAACAGTTTAACAACTCAGAATACTGGCAAGATCTACCCATGGGGTCAATTTTTTTAAATGTGTTGATATGAATATGCCTTTAAAATATCACTGGCTCTCTCTCTTCTCAGCAAGATCTTTCTCAATAACAGACTAACATGGACGTATGGTACAATAAAAAGCTAAGATAAAATGTACTCAGTTATGGAGACTCACCATATCAAATATATTTCTATTTAACCATCCCTTGATATTTCTTAAAGATTTTTTCTGCATATTTGTGTGTGTGTGTGTGTGTGTGTGTGTGTGTGTGTGTGTGTGTGAGCGCGCGTGCACGCTTCTGCCACAGTACACATTTAGAGGTCAGAAGACAACTTGCAGAGTTGATTCTATCATGGGAGTTCTGGGGCTTGAACTCAGGTCATCAAGCTTGGCAGCAAGCACCTCTGCTGCTTGAGCCATCTTGTGTGCTCCAAACTTGATATACTTCAAACAACTAAAAAGGCACAAATGCAGGCAGGTGCTTACCTTTGGGTTAATTTACACATTGGGTCTTCTTTCCTGACTCCTGGGGTCATGCCCTTATACTAAGCACTAAGAGACAGACACAGAATTTCTGTCATGCAGAGTTTAGATTCCACAACATGTGTTACAGGCCCAAAGAATTTCCCTAAGTAGGCATAATTTGGACAGAATTTAGTCAAAAGAAATGATAATTTTACCTCTCTGAACTGCAAGAAGCAGGGTGGCTGACTGAACGCTTCATCTAGAAATTAAAAAGGAAAAACAAAAACACTTTAGCATAATCCTTAGTCAAACAGAATCATGTATCTCTAATGTATTGTTATCATAATTAACCTAAGTTTATTCAGAGAAACATTTCTTAGTGGAGACTTATCGTTAGAGACTTAAGTAACAACCTGAACACAATGTCAAGCTTTCTCCCTAATAACCACTAACCAGAAACTTTCTCAATACCTACTGAAAAATACTAAAACTCCAAATTATATATATAAACAATGCAATATATAAATGTGTGTATACATGTATATATACACACATGATATAGGTATAAAAGTATAAAGGTATAGATAAAAATGGAGACTATAAGCCGGGCGTAGTGGTGCACGCCTTTAATCCCAGCACTTGGGAGGCAGAAGCAGGCGGATCTCTGTGAGTTCAAAGCCAGCCTGGTCTACATAGTGAGTACCAGGACAGCTGGGGCTACAGGGAGACCCTGTCTCAAAAAGACAAAAAAATAGAAAATGGAGACTATAGATTAAAAAGTGTGTATGTCTGTGTGTATGTATATATAAATAACTAATCTAAAAGTCATTTGTCATAAAAAAAGAAACACCTAGCAAACCAGAAAGTCCTCTAATGAACATTCTTTCTTCTAAGTTCTAGAGGGCACGAGCAGAGTCTGGCACAAAGCTTCTCTTTACCATTCATTATTCAGGCAGCCGACACATAACATGTCAGGGTAGCTTTCCTGCAGGGCAGCATTAGTATTTCAACTCTTTAAAGAACTCAGAAGAAGACCCTCAACCTCATTTTTTAAAAATAAAGAGGCTGGGGATGTAAGCTCAGTGGAAGTAAGTACGCTGCCTGAGTCTAGTCCTTGAAACGGTAAAAATAAAAGGAAATAATGTTTAAAAAAAAAAAAAAAAACTGGGTCTATGTAATAAATAAATGTAAATATAAAAAAAATTTTACCCTTGAAGACCATCTGAACTCAACTGTCATGTTGTACCTCCAGAAAACTTATTAGAACCCCCAATTCTTGCCTTTCTTGCCAAGCAAAATGTCATAGATAGTAAAATAAGTGATCTCTAACCCAATATTTCCTAAATTACCAATCAAACTCCTACTAAGTTTCCTATTGATAAATCAAATATTTTCATTTTAAAAGATTTACAGGGACTCGCTAGGCACTGTGGCACACACCTTTAATCTCAGCACTTGGGAGGCTGAGGAAGGTGGATCTCTGTGAGTTTGAGAATAGCCTGATCTATATAGCAAGTTCCAGGCCAGTCATGGCTACATACTGAGACCCTGTCTCAAACCAACAAAAAAGGTTTACAGTTTCAAGACCAGAGGTTCATCTCAGAAGCTTGTTTTTTTTTTTTTTCAATCATACATGTTATTGTAGCATATACACAATTGCCCTAAAAAAAGCAACATTCTGAACTGTTCAGCATGGAAGAAGCCAGAGCAGTCTGCATCCCGATTCCCTATCAGCAATTTGGGTAACCTCTTCAGAGGATGGTGTGATAAGAATAGGAGGTAGGAATTGGCTAGGCAGTTAGGGTAAAAAGACCCCCAAAGAAAAGTAGCCAGTTTCCTGGCTAAAAATCAAAATGTCCTTGAGACACTTAGCAACATACTCTGTTCCAAAGGCCAAAAATATCAAAAGTATTTGGGAGCTCTTATCTAATCCCTAAAAAATTTTAGGGTTACCTCTTCAGAGGGGGGAATGTTAGAGTAGCAAAAAGCCCTATTAAAAAAGGAGAAAGAAAGAAAGAAAGAAAGAAAGAAAGAAAGAAAGAAAGAAAGATGCAAAGTTGTCAGAAAAAAGTGATGGGGAGATATAGGAGGTGTTGGAGGGGAGGAAGTGGGTGTGGATTTGATGAAAACACCTTACATGCATGTATGAAATTCTCAATAAATTTTTTTAAGTTAAAAAAAAACAAAAAGCAGATTGGAGTAGCGGCTCAGAGCTCAACAGACTTTCAGACAGTGTGGGGATTCTGGCCTACGAGAGGGCCTGAGAACCCAAGGTACTGCTTGAGAGCCCCTAATCCTGCCTCCACATGGTGGTGAGCTTCCCCTAATTGTGCCATACCATCCCCCTACCTGGGATTTTGTGAGGCCCCTCCCAAGGCCCCAGGGCAGATCTGGCTTTGGTAGGTGAGAGCTGAGATCCTAGCAGACAGCCTGAGAGGGTGGGTTTGAATCTCCATCAGGGTAGCTCAGAGCTCAGCAGACCTCCAGAGAGTGTCCCCCTCTCTGTTCTGGACCCGCTCTGGCCTCCGTCTGGCATAGGGTTTGAGAATGCACTGGACTGCCTGAGAGAGCCTGGATCCTGCCTCCACATGGTGAAGGAAGCCTGTCTAAAACCTGAATTGGGCTTCTGTGGGTACCCCGAATAGCTGATCTGTAGCCATCAGTTCCCTCCAAAATAAACCGGAGAGAACCTGAACCCTGTACCAACCAGGTTTATACAACCAATAAAGAAAGGATCTAGGCACCTGGATAATACAAACAGAAGCATAGTTCAACTCAATTCTCATATTGGAATAATAAACAACAAAAGAAATTCACATGCCAAAACCACAATGAGAGAATAATAAAATGGAAAGTCAAAACACTATGTTCCCACCAAAGGCCACCAATCCTGTAGAAGAGTCCTACAAGGAGAATGCCCTAGAGATAACCCAGGACACTGACGTGAAAAGAACAATCATAAACATGAAACTAAAATAATACATCCCCACCAAGTACCAATAGTCCTCTAGAGGAGTGCAATGAGAACTCCCTAGAGATAACACAGGATATGGAACTCAAAAGAACAATTATAAACATGAGAAAAGAATTCAGTCAATTTAAAGAACACACAAACAAAGAAATCAAAGAACTGAAGGAAGATAGAGATAAATTTCTGAATGAGTTCAGAAAAGAGTTAGAAATATTGAAGAATACGCAGGCGGAAATGAAGAAGGAAGTAAAATA